CAAACTGCGCACCTCACGCTCGAGGTAAGACGCCGTATCGGCTTGTCTTTTCCGCTCGGCCTAGACAGGACTGCAACTCAGCATCTTCCCATGGCCTTCTAAGAGCAAAGGCTTCTGTCATGATTTGCAACATGGATAGTGTTGTAGGAGATATCCTTTCCTGCAAACCATGCCCCTGGGTGTTGGGGCAAGCAGGGGGCATGAACCTCTGGTGTTTGCTTGCATTCTATTCCAAAGCCCTTCAAACACCCTAAACCCGAAACGCTAAACCCAAGAGGTAGCAGAATGGTTCGTCGGTGGAACACCAAGAGGGAAGTCAGAGGCTCCCGTTTGGGGGGTTGGCTCAGAGAAAATGGAAACTACTATATTGGGTTAGGGTTTAGGGTTTAGGGTATTGGGATTATAGGGTATATATTGGGGTGATTTAGGGATAATGGAAAATGAAGCGGAAACTACTAGTTGGCTCAGCTGGCACCTCGTGAACTCAACTCCAGCATGGGTTTCACATGGGCATTCATTTCAAGTTGCTTGAAGCAAGAACTTGACAGCGCGTCGTCCACATCTTGCCAATTGTGATCGACGCCCAATGCTGGAGAGCAATTGTGAAAAGCTTGCGGTTGGGGCATGCGGCGAAAGAGGCGGGCAAAGCGGAAGATGATTCGTTGCCAAGGCTTTTTCCATTACCACGGAGATATCCCAAGGAGTTTCATGCGCTTGTGAAGTATCTTCCGGGACATCTTCCAAGAGCTTGGCATTCCGCATGGTTGACCATGCTGAGCACAGCAAGCTGCTGGTGTGGAGATTGGTTGTGCTGCCCTGCCCGCCCCCCTGCAAGATAGAAGAGTACGTCTAACGTGAGGAGCAGATCCCTCTCTTCAATGTTTTAATCTTCCATGGCGTTTCAAAGATGCCCAAGGATTTTTCGAATTATTCAAAACAGTGAAAGATTCGCTGTGGCCTGGCTTATTCATTTGTTTGGTGTTTTTGATGTTGAAACCATTACATAGAACATTCAAACATCGGGATCCCTGAAAACCGTCCTTCTTTAATCAAGATTAGAACACATTTTAAAATTGAATCGGTACCTAGCTGCTTTAGTGTCCTGATGTCTTGATGCTTGCAATGTGTTTTCAGGGGTTCGCATTATGAATCATTGAAACACCGGGGTCCATGAACTCGTCCTGCTTTGATCTCGAATATTAAGGACATTAAAACATTGAATCGGGAGCTTTAATGTCTTAATGGTCGTAATGTGAAACCTGTGAAAACACGTTGAGCCTCAGGGCGTTCAGATCCCTTTAAAACCCCCTCTACTCCCCCTTGCAGACACACCGA